TTTTTCCCGCTCCCTGACCCCTTTTTCCCGCTCTTTTCCCGTTTTCCAGGGAGCGGGAGCGGCGGGAGAAGGAGCGGGAGGAGTGGGAGCGGCAGTACAGCCGCCAGAGCCGCAGCCCCTCCCCGCGCCACGGTCCGTCATTCCCAAAATTCCCGGAATTCCCAGAAATCCCCGACATTCCCGGCCTTCCCCAGGGCTCTGCGGGGGGGTCCCTTCCCAAAATTCCCAGAAATTCCCAGGAAATTCCCAAAAATCCGGGAGCTGCTCCTGTTTTTTCAGGGCTCTGAGGGTTCCATTCCCAAAATTCCCAGAAAATTCCCAAAAATCTGGGAGCCATTCCCATTTTTCCAGGGCTCTGTGGGGTCCATCCCCATGGAATTCCCAAGGAATTCCCAAAATTCTGGGAGCCAATCCTGTTTCTCCAGGAGTCCCTTCCCAAAATTCCCAGAAAATTCCCAACATTCCAGGAGACATTCCCAATATTTTGGGGGATTCCCAAAAATCCGGGAGCCATTCCCACTTTTCCAGGGGATGGGGGAGGCAGAGGGGAGGGATTTGGGGTTGGAAAAAATTGGGAAAAAAAATGGGATTTTGGGTGGGAAAAATGGGGAAAAAAGGGGAAAAATGGGATTTGGGGGGTTGGAAAAATGGGATTTTGGGGGAGTCCAAGCCATGGGATTTTTGGGATGAAAAAATGGGAAAAAAGTGGGATTTGGGGCTGGAAAAAATGGGATTTTGGGGGAGGCCATGCTGTGGGAAATGCTGGAAAAAAAAAAAGGGAAAAATGGGAAAAAAACAGGAAAAGCAAAGGGAAAAGTGTGGGAAATCTGGGATTTGGGATTGTTGGGATTTAGGATTTGGGGATTTGGGATTTTTTGGGATTTTGGGGATTTGGGGATTTTGGGAATTTGGGATTTTTTGGGAATTTGGGATTTTTTGGGATTTGGGATTTTTTGGGATTTGGGTGTTTTTGAGATTTGGGATTTGGGGATTTTGGGGATTTTGGGAATTTTGGGGATTTTGGGATTTTGGGATTTTTTGGGATTTGGGGATTTTGGGAATTTGGGATAGGGGATTTTGAGATTTGGGGATTCTGGATTTTTGGGGATTCTGGATTTTTGGGGATTTGGGATTTGGGATTTTTTGGGATTTGACCTTGTCTGTTCCCGCAGGTCGGGAGTACAGCTCCTCACGGAGGTACGGCCGCTGTTCCCGGAATTCCCGAAATTCCCGGAGATCCGGGGGCTCCCGGCCTTGATCCAGCCCCGTTCCCTCATCCC